GTGTGTGTGTGTGTGTGTGTGTGTGTGGGTGTGGGTGTGGGTGTGGGTGTGTGTGTGTGTTCTCAGACCAAGGAGCCCACTGAAAGAAAAGACGTACGTCCTGAAACTTATCATCAAATTGCAAATGGCAAGAGTTACAGAAATGGCACTGTGATGCATTATGTTAATGACAATTGAGTTAATGTTACTTGCTGTCAATTTGAACTCCCGTCATCAGAACGGAAGTCCTGTAGCATCTCACGAACAGAAGCTTGCTGTAACACTTTCCAGCGATATTGCTGAAAACTCGCGGAACGACTCTGTCGTTGACAATTGTAGTCCAAGTGGACTGCTGCATCGACAAATCTCCCAAGTGTCCATGCCAGCACTGAGTTCCTCTGCAGCAGATACAAGATACAATCTCTTGCAACATGTGAGAACTGTCAGGATAGGATAGGTGCGCATGAACTGTTTTTGGACGGATGGATGCCAAAGACTCGTATACGGGAAGGTCAAAATTTGGATAAGGTATTGCCCCGAAAGGGTTACTATGTATATGACCAGCGTCAACAACACAGGCAACAGGAGATGGACTACCCATACCAGCCTGGGAAGCAGGAACAACAATTGAAGGAGTAATAATCGGCGTAGAGTTATTGGTTTGTGGTGGAGTAGAAGACGAACGACGTTGAAAATTTTGAGGAGATGCCAATTGTATTGGAAGCGCACAGAGCGAAGTGGTACGAAGAGCAGATTAAGAAACAAGAGGAGGAATCCTGTTGAGAAGTGCTTCCATCCGTGCAAATCTGTGGAAGGACACTGTAATAGTTTCATCAGGACAATCAAACAAATGAGACATCATAGAAGCAACCTCTGTAGTAGAGACTCTACTAGAGAGCGCAATAAACTCATCATGCAAGTTTAAAGCAGATGGATCATCCCACTGGCCTCTGTATCCGTAATATTCAACGGATCTGGAAGAAGAGCGGATCGTCGGTGCAACATTAGATGAATCATGAATGCGCTTTTGTCGTCGCCACTCGATGAATTTATCCCATAACTGTTCCATCTTTTTCAACTTTTGCAGTTTTTACAAGCGCTTCAAAAAACATTACAGTTGATACCTTTTTCATACCAACAGTCTGTGCATCGGGAAACCATCTGGCGAGGTAAGCGCGAAATGCACAGGTGGGAGGTACTTGTGGCAGATGAGGTACGCCTGGGAGATCCAGGCGGCTATGGAGGAAGAGGAGAGACACAGACTTGCAGAGGAGAAGGATAGAGGACAGGATTTGGAGGTGGAAAAGTACTTGCAGAAGGAGAGAGAGAATCCGAGGGAGCTTGAAGAAGAGTCCCCTCGCACATGGCGCGCAGACTTTCTCCCTCCAAAGTGTAGGCAGAGTCTTGGCTCGCTCTAGACATGGCCAGGCGGATAGAGAGGGAACGGGTCACCACCAGGGAGAATGACGAAAGTTCTTCAACAGACAGAGACAAAGAGGGAGACAAAGAGGGAGACAAAGAGAGAGACATGCATACATACAAAGAGACAGAGAGAGACAGAGAGAGACAGACAGAGAGAGAGAGAGAGAGAGAGAGAGAGAGAGAGAGAGAGAGAGAGAGAGAGAGAGAGAGTGACTGTGATGGTGCGAGCTTCGTGCAAGCGGCCATAGCCGTTATTCAGTTCATTCATGGTCATAGCCACATTTGCAACCTTGGTGTGGGCGGCCATAGCCGCATTTGCGAGTTTTGGACATCGGAGACTTGTTCAATGGATTATATGTTGGCCCTCGCTACGCGTCTGAATTCGTGTACGGAATTCTTTGAAATTTTTTCTTTTGGGGGGGGGCGTTGGGGCTGCCAGGAACCATGCCCGGGGGTCATGCCCCGCCGGGCACCCGGGCGTATACCCGGGCATAAGTTGGGTGCCCGGGCACCTGGAAAAACAGCCTAGTATTTTTTATTTTTTTAATGTTTTTTTGGCCCGGCCGGGCAAGTCCAGGGCCACTCTGGTAGCCTAGGTTTTTTATTTTTTGTTTTCTTTTTTCTTTTCTGAAAGCTGCGGTGAAGGTTCCGGAAAACACCCGGGGGAAGGATCAGGCAAAGATCGGGCAAGGATTGGGCAAGACGAACCGGTGCCTCTCTCTCTCGCTCAATCAATCAATTGAGCGGCAGGAAAAAGTGGCTCAGAGATAGTGCCGGTTTCATGAGCTTGGCAAGCTTGTGGTGTCTGATGCCAGACTTCTGTCAGACGGTGGCTCTTCCCGACCAGTTAGAGCATAGTCGGACTAGGAACATCGGTCTAAAAATAGGTTTCCTGGTGCTTCCAAAGCTTCTCAAATGATCCGACTCGAATTTGATTCTGAAAAGGCAATTATGCAAGTCCACAACGCTCACACCAGACTCAGGCAGCAAAGGAACCAGACAGATATCAGCAGAACTCGAAGATGTTATTCCAAATCACAAAATGGTTCCAAGTATTCGAGCACAGGTATCTGCGGCTATTGCCAACACACGCCCAGACTCAGGTATGTACTCTCTCTCTCTCTCTCTCTCTCTCTCTCTCTCTCTCTCTCTCTCTCTCTCTCTCNCTCTCTCTCTCTCTCTCTCTCTCTCTCTCTCTCTCTCTCTCTCTCTCTCTCTCTCTCTCTCTCTCTCTCTCTCTCTCTCTCTCCCCACACACACCCACACACACCTTCACCTCCGACATTAATCAGGAGCTTCTCCTTGGTCTCAACCCTTGCGCATCTTCTTTCTTGCCAAATATCTCTCCCTTGCCGCGGCAACAGCCTCCGCTGACAGCTGCCTCTCATCTGCGAGTGACACTGCCGCCTTGTGTGCAACTGTCTCCCTTCCACGATGATGACCGCCTCCTTCAGCCTCCATGGCATTCCCTTCAACTGATCGAGTCAATCGCTCTGGTGCTATAGCCGCGCCCACCTCTCTGTCTGGTATGTCACTGCCATCTTCCACTTCATCTCTGGCCGTCTTACCCCCCCCATACCCCAAGAATGGTCTCTCTGCTTCAATACTTCCCTCCCGTCCGCCTGAACCCTTATCCCGATACTCAACCTGATGTTCTCTCCTTTCGTGAGCACTCCAATCTTCGTGTTCATCTACGCTTTGTCTGCTGTCCGCCTTTGATGCCTGCTGCTTTTCGTCCTCTACCGTCTCTCCACCTCTTCTCCTAACCTTCTCCTCCCTTTCTCTCCTCATGAGCTTGGATGGACTGGTCTCTTGACGCATGCGATGATGGGCAGCGCCCAACATACCAACGTCGTCTGATGGCAAAGCACCAGCAGATCTTGCTTTCTCGCCGACGCACTCATCGTCGTCACCATCCTCTTCTCTGACCCCAGGTCTCCTCCTACTCCTCGTCCTCTCGCCTCCCGAACTTGGCGACGATGGTACATCCTGCCTCTCGTTGCACTCGATTTGCCTGGTTCCTACACTTGTTGTTGCAGGAGCTGCTAGGCCAACTGCACCTCCAACCTTTTGGCAGTCAGACATGCTCAGGCGACCAGTCCTTGGGCTCCGAGGGACAGAAGTGCTTTCACCACCAAACGCTACATTCTTGGAAAGAAGATTATGGTAAAAGTCACTAAGGTCTTTTCGCTTTGTTACATCGTCAGCCTTTTCACGCTCCTCTTGCCGCTTCTCCTCCTCGATCCACTTAGCCTGCTCCGCAAGCTTCTTCTTATATGCACTCGTTACAAACTTCTCTTTTCCTTCGTACATGCCCTCCTCCCTTTCTCTCTCCTTCTGCAGCGTTCTTTCTCGCACCAATTCTTGCTCCATCTCCCGTCGCTTGGCTTTCTCCAGCAATGTCCCAATATATTTTGGCTTTTGCGATACCATCTCTTCTGTCTTCGGTTTCATTTTCTTCTCCGTCATCTCATCGTACACAGCGTCGTATTCAAATGCCAAAGGATTCTCCTGCAATGCTTTGGCATGCAAGAGTTCTATTTCCTTCTCAGCACGCTTCTTGCTTGCCTGACGCTCAATCTCTGCCTCAACATCATCCTCATCATGATCATCTTGAGAGAAGATGGAAGCCACTCGAGGTGGAGGTACGGACAGCTTTCCTTTCAGTCCCTCCTCTTCCTTCCCTTTCTTCTTCTGGACTGGCAATTGCAGTCCATACTTCACCTTATTATGAGATCCCCCCAACATGTTGATTACGCACACCGCACTTCCTTTACCCAAGCCCCCTACAACCTACCGTTTGATTGCCAAGCGGCACTCTCGTTTTAATCAAAGACTTTTCCCTGGTTGTGAACTCCACCCAGTACACGTGCACTCTAAGACAACCCCTGATTAGAGTGAGTGGTCACCTACACACATCAAGCACGAACCAACAAAGAGATGACTTGGTTGTAAACACAATGTACAGGAGGGGAAAATCTCTCTCTCTCTCTCTCTCTCTCTCTCTCTCTCTCTCTCTCTCTCTCTCTCTCTCTCTCTCTCTCTCTCTCTCTCTCTCTCTCTCTCT